TTTAGGACCATTAAAATAGTATTAATATATAATTTTTGCAATCTACAAAACCTAGGCAGCAGTCAGGAAAAGATGTAATCTGAAAGTAAGATTTTCCACTAAGAAAGGCTGGGTGCCAAAGAATTGAGGCCTTTGAACTATGGTGAACTATGAATTGGCTGGATGGAGTCACTGAAGCAGTAGGTGTGAGCTTAAATGGATTCCTGAGGATGGTAGAGGACAGGAAGGCCTGGAGGAACATTGTCCATGGGGTCATGATGAGTCAGACATGACTTCGCAACTAACAACAACATACTATATGTTTCAATTTAATTAATATAATACATAATNGAGACTTAACAGGAATTAGTCTTCTGAATTTAGGATTTTTTTTCTCCTCTAAAATGTAACACAAGATAATTGTAAAAGTATTCATTTGACCACTTCTGAAGGGTAAAATCTCCAGAAAACAGAAATGCTTTATAAGAACAAAGTTAATTAAATTTGTAATAAAATGCTTCTTCAGCAAACCCAAGTATGTGAAAGTTTGAAAAGGAATAGTGCTCTATAACTGCTAAAACATCAATGTTGCATCTTCGTACCAACTACAGAGTAACTATTAAGTTGTGATAAACTCAGTCCAGAGAGGAAAGGGCTGATATCCAGAAAAGGATTCCTTAAGCCAGATTCATTTCTGTTTGTTTAGGAATATCTGTCAAACAGCTTAAGATTGCTGTGCAGAAAAAAAAAACCTTCAGTAAAAACAAAAAAAAATTTCTATGGCGATTGAGTCACCATATCCATAAAAAGGCATGTATCATGAAGTGGCAGCACTGTTTTTCTCAGCTTCATCCCACAGACACTTCAGGGAAAGCCATAGCAACAAGGCATATAGAATTAAAATTAAAATGAATTACTTTTACTTCCCTAGTATCATACAGCATGTTCATGTGTGATCCTAAGGGCACCTCTGAGCTTCTATCATGTCATAAGTGAATTCAAATGTGAATTCAAGGCAGCAGAACTCTGACTTTCAGACTACAGGGAGTAGGGAGGGGATGAGCAAACTATGTTGTTTTATACATTTGTTTTCTTTAAACTATATATGACAATTTTTTTTAAGTGAAGATGGCACAATTAAAACTTGTTCTTGGGGTATATAAGCAACTGTCCAACTTGTTGTTGTGATGAGATGATATACCACATGAACTAGACAATCTGGTGACCAGGTTTTAATAATACATAACCAGAGTAACATACCATGAGTATGCACTACTAAATGTTTCTTGAGGACAGGGAAACACAATATTGTTGTCTACCCACCACCAGCTTACTGGGAAAGCAATCTATATATGTCATTGATTTCAAAGCATCAAAACTATTTTTTTCAACTTATGCTGGGTTAGGTGTTGATGTGAAGTTCACCTGTTGTGCTTTATTTCATGATAGATAAATGCCTCCATTCCAAGTGACAACTGTTAATTGTGGCTGAAACTCCCTACTGTCTACCACTACCAGTTGCTTTCTTCTAGTCTGGGTTTCCATACTAGGGAAATTCTGCACCTTCCTTCTTTAACCAGTTTACAAGTAGACAATAAAAGGTTTGGCTTTTTTTAAAAAAAAACTTTTTTTTNTATAATTTCACATTACAAAGTTTCCCAGGTTTCATGGTTGTTTTTCCCTTGAAAATTCTTATCCATGTAATCCTTCTCAAACTCTCTCTAAGTTTATTGAAATCAGCTGTCTTGAAGTGCAAGGTCGTAGTTTGACTTTGTTCTATTGCTTGTCCTTGCACAACATTTAATTCCAAAATTGTATGACAATTTCTCTCCCCCTCCAAGGTACTTGTAATTTCAACACCTTCTACCATTTATTTTCTGTTAGTGAGAATTAAGTCCTGTATGGCTGACTTTCTAGTTCCGTCTTCTAGCTTGTGGGAGAGAAAATTGTCTGCTAGGTTTGTCAGAAATCTGTTTGATCTTTCACTAGATTCAGAGTTTGTATCCCACTTTATATCAGGGTAGTTAAACTTCCCTATTACTATTATAGTGTACATCCTATATATCTTAGTTGACTGACTAGCAAAATGTTTATCTATTTTTTCTGGTTGGTTGGCCTTTAGTATACATCTATAGCAAAGGCATTCTTTTTTTCCCTTTTATATTGACTTAAATGCATTCAAGATGCAGTTTTTAATCATTGTTCTGCTGTATTTCTGTAGAGATATAATTATTTCTTATATATAACACAACTCAACCTCCTCTTTTATTCAGTCTTTTTTAAAAACACAATTTCGATCCCTCTAGCTATATATTCCGTTCATGGGTTTCATCCTACCAAGTTTCTGTAATGGCAACAATATCACATTTACCTTAATGTACTTAGATTCATTTATTCCATATACTTTGTGCATTGATGTATAGGCATTTTAGTCCTTTTAGACTGACCTCATGTTTTGTGTCTGAGTTCTCCTTCATCCTTATCACCTGTTTGATTAGTGCACATAATAGGGCACACACTATCAAAAGCTTGATTTTTCCTAACTACAACCTTAATATTCTTAACTGCACACATCTATGTTAGAAACACTGACAATCCAATTAGTTTTAGATTGCTGGGGACAAACATGTTCTGTATCAATTATCTCCCTGTCCCTATCTGTCTCATAAAGGTCATGACAGATGCAGTCAGTCAAAAGACATCAAGATGGTAGACTCCAGATCCAGATGCAAAAGGTCATGGAAAAGGAAAGCTAATTTGGAAGGGGGAGGAAAGATGACTGGCTCAGAAATAGATTTAAAAGTCCAAGAATAGTAGGAAAGACAAAGAAAAGCTATCCACGAGCAAGCATTAAAAAGAAAAGGCATAAGCCAACATTGGCAGCTGAATCAGTATGAGGAAAAAAGCTGGAAAATTCACCATGAGTATCTGAGAAGCAATTGGAGATCTAGTCCATGAGCTAAAAGATAGTAGAAGAGAGAGAGGGGAGTTAAATGGATTGAAATCCTGACCCAAGCAACTATCTATAGAAAACAGAAACAGAGTACATTTTGGCAGTGTGGTAGAATTGTTAGTTTTCTGGACTACTCAGTCAATAGCTTAGAATTGTATCAGTCAGTATCCAGTTCATGGTTCTGTATGTTTTAAGTAAATGCTGTAAGATTTAAGTAAATGCTCCAAAAATATTCATAATTAGAGGCAGGAGGTGTATACACACACACACACACACACACACACTGTATATGTGTGTGTATGTGTACGTGTGTGTATGTATGTATGTATGTATGTATGTATGTATGTATGTATGTATGTATGTATGTATGTATGTATTCTTGGATACTCTAGGAGGGAAGGAAGTCTCCCTTAAGAGTTCCAACTGTTAGTCAAGGGTTGGGCAGCAGACAGATGAGAATACATTCTCTATTAATGGGAAGAGATTCCCTATGGGAAAGCCGCCATTGAATTTGGCTTCTGAGTAACAGCAGGTGCAACAAGAAAGTTACATCACATAGAGCAAAGAGATTGACTACGGAAAGGTATGGCTTGTTAAAATGTTGGAACTTCTGATTTTTACCTGATAGGAAATTGCGAACTTGACGAATGAACTGCTGAGTGCGCTGGATATCTGCCTCTATCTGTGTCCTGATGATGCTCATTTGATTTCTCAGTTTTTGGGCATTTGTCTGAATCTTGCTTGAAGCTATTTCAGCAGCTCTGATCTGTTAATAGGTGAGACAGATTCCATTTCCATATGGTATTTAATATAGCTCCTAAATGCTTCAACATTTTTCCACATGGGTTCACAAGCAGTAATATTCATCCCCCCACCCCACCCCCAGGTATTAATTACCCCATTCATTTCTAGTATTTCAGATGCAAGTTCTCGTTAAAAATAATGCATGGAAAATGTGAATGTTCAAATAGAAAATAAATGGCGTTGTTTAAGCACTTGTTATGTTTTTATAATGCATGTATTTTTCCTTGCTTCTTATATTTTTTGTTATGATTTTGAAAGCAATAAATATACATACATACATACATACATATATATATATATATATATATATATATATATATATA